ATATGAAGATTGGAAAAACTTTGGCGGTTGTTGTAGAACAAACAGAATAGCTCAAAACCCCAACGCCAAAACAAGACACTGTAGTTGTCCGAAGCACTTTTCGGTAACAAAGTTACCTTCTTCAGGGACTGAAGTAAACGTTTATAGCGTTGGGGTTTTGAGGTATTCTGTTTGTTCTTCTCTATACGTTGCCAATTCACGTCCAGGGCTGGCTTCAGATTGCAAATTCGTCTAGTTTTCTTACAAATTGTTTGTCCCTTAACCACGCTGCTTTATTCCCTATTTCATCTAGTGAATACCCACAAAAGATTGCTACTTATTCCAGAAACACCCTGTATATATAATATTTGTAAGTACATGTGTACGATGTACCTACATATTTCTCCAGGTGTTTCTGTCGATGACTTCCGCGTTAAAGCTCCGGTGGGTGGTGAGTGACTTGAGTAGTGTTCAGAACGGTGGGTGTGAATAAAAGCATACATTATCTAAACAGCCTATTGTGTATGAAGCGGACGAAGACGAGATATTGTCTTATTTATTTTAAGAAATGACAGCATCTCGCGGCCTCAAGTTCACAACCGGCCGGTTTTTTGCGAGTCCGTGTTTTTTCTGCTTGTCGGTCAAGGTTTTGTCGTGGTGTTAACATAGGTCACCTGTTATGAATTTAAACTTACAGTCAAGTTCCATTTTTATGTTGTTCTGATAATAAATTAATACTTTTAAAACTTTTTTATCGCTTTATAGGCCCGATCCTTTAAGTGCTTAATTCATTTTCTAACTTCGGGAAAGATGACGATTTTCAGTTTGAAATAGGCTATTTTGTCCTGGAGAAAATCTGAAAAGGTCTAAGTATGTAACAGGTTTCTTTTTATTGTTGAATTTCTTAAAAAAATAAGAAAAAGTTAGGAGCGTTTGAGGTGTTGGAAAAGATAAAAAACAGGAAAAGGAGATATAGATAAAGAGATATATTACAAAAACAAGAGTGATGAGAGGTAAAAAATGATCTAGAGCAAATTTTTAGGGATGTTTTATTTTTCGGGAAATGCGTTTTTCGAAAAGTTTGACTTAGGATAGATATGAGAAGTAGAAAATCTAGATAGTTTTCGGACTTACGAAGTTTTAATGTTGATTTGAATATGATTTTATCCAACATTATTAAAGCAGTATTAAACTTTATTTTTGAAATAAATTAAGTAGGTACCTTTTACTTATACCATTAAACTCCTGGAAAGTCCTTGATACTCTATAAGGTTGTAGCAGTTCTGTTATAAATTTACTCGTTCCGAAAAGTAAGTTCCGATATTAATTTCAAGGCGCTTAACTTGAACCTTTCAAAATGATAGAAGGTAACCATTAATTTAAGCGGATTTTGAACAGATCCAAGTGCGAGTATGTGTTGGGCAATTTCTCTCACTTACAACCTCCTAATAGAGGCAATTTATTTATAACTTTCCTTCCAGTTATCCTTAAAAGGCATTTCATGTCTTTGTTAAGGAAAAAAAAGTTAATAAATAAAACGGAAGTTTCACTAAATGCATTAAAAAAATTTAAAAGTCTACAAAAAAAATATAGATAATATTCAAATATCCATTTTATTTGCAACTTTTTAACACTGTTAGGCATTACAGCACATATTCAGGCCCTTCTTTTCCATTGGGCACTCTGGGCAAGTGCCCAGGGCCCCACGATCAACGGAGGCCCCCTATATAGTTCCTGCCAGATCCATCCGCCAACCAAAAGCCGATAATTATTTTAAGACAATTAATCAATAATTGCTGTTAGAATATTTACTTGCATAATCGCTTTTGCATGCTATAAACGCGAGCATACCTAAATGTAGGTGATTCTTCAAACATTTGTATATTTTGAAATTTTATTACTTCGAATCCCTCTCCAAAGAGCAAAATACAGAATCTGACTATAAGGACTTGTCTCAAAGAATAAGACTTAGAAGTTGGCGCCAGACATTTTTTGATGACTCTGCACCGATAGTCCAACTGAGTTGGGAAGAGATATTAAAGTAGAAATACCTTACTTCCCATAAGTGATATCCCAAGCGTGCATCTAAAACAGCGATTGAGTTTGTACAAGGACATTGGTTATTGTAGACATTGGTTTTCGCTTGAAAACTCCAAATCCCGAGACACTGTTGCAAAGAATTGCTGGTATGAAGATGTTAACGAGAAAGAGTTAGAAATAGAATGTCTGTATTTGGCAAACTAATGGTATTCCAGAAGTTTTGATAAAAAACCGAGTTGGAG